GATTATGACCCTAAACCCAACACTAATGCTATACAGAAGACACAAAAATGCCCATTCTGACATGCTTCAAAAGCTGTATGTTTGGTACTTTTTGATGTTCTCTAAAGTTAGTGTTGGGGTTACCACTGACAGCTTAAACACATTTTGCCTTTTTAAGTTTGTTGCAAACTGATTTTGCATTACTCTGTTAAATCCTTCACCGATTTCTGGTTGAAGTGTAGAAGATTTTAGCCTAAACTCTGAACCTCAGAGATGGTTTTATTAATTTCATCAGCACATATAAACTACTAGGTACAAATCTTTATAGGTTATGAGATCCTAATAACAAATTTTGAGATCTGTGTTTATATCACAAACTAACACAAAGAAAACTATCTGTCCTTTTAGCAGTACAGCTGAATCAATGTGTCCTCTGCTGCCTGCAGTAAATAATGCAGGATTATCCATGATGGATTACAGTTTGTTCAGTGACCTTTCTTCCACAGCTGTAAAAATGTCCAATTTTCAGCCAGTCACAGAAACAGCCTTCCAAATACGCTTATTCAGCCTGGTGGTGTTAATCGCTCTGATGTCTGTGTAGGTTCTCAGTCATCCAGGAAAAAAGAAGGCAACTGGACTTCTTTAAGTTTGTGAATACATTTCACTTGGCATCCAAGAGGCTTCTCCAGAGTCCCAGGTATTAGACACCTGGAACTACTCACCAACTTAAAGAAGTCCTCCGGTCGCTTTCTTTTTTCAGATTTCAAGCTGCTAGCTAAAATGCTGCTCTCCCTGCAGACCACAGCTAAGTGCACTACTTCATTTTGCTGCACACATTGAAGGATCAGCTTCCTTAGAAAACAGAGCTCTTGCTCTTGCTCTTGCACTTTTATGCTACAGCCTACTGTTGAAATGGACAGCCAGGTACACGTACCCCTCTACCACATAAACATCCCATCCTAGGACAGACACAGACTGTAGCTGTCTTTTTCCTTCTGAAGTTGATCACCATTTCTCTGGTCTTATTCAGGTTCAGAAGCAGATTCCTCTCACACCACTCCACAAATCCACTAGTGTTTTGTACTCCTACTGCCCATTCAACCACTGTAAAATCAGATTATTTCTATATGTGGCATGGTGAGCAGGAATGGAGGAATGGAGACAGCACAACCCCCTGTGCAGCTCTGCACAGTCTGACATGCTGCAGCTTGTTTGTCGGGTAGTCAATAATCAATTTTTGCAGCATGTCATAAAGATGACACAACAGTAGGACAGTGGGAGCACTGTTTGTTCACAATAGGAGGGCCCTGTGTTCAAATTCACCAGCCAGCTGTGTGGACTTGTGCCTGCATGGGTTCTGCAGCCTCGTCTCACAGTCCAAAGACAGGCATGCTGGGTTAAATATCCCTAGATGTGAATGTGAATGGGCATCTATGCCTCTGTGTTTGCCCTGCAACAGTGGTGAGCTGTTCAGGGTGTACCTCACATTTTGCCCAGTTTGATTGCCCAGTGAGATTGCTATTAAACATGAAGGAGGAGGTGGGACCTCAATATCACATCTCCACCCCCATCTGCTTTACAGAATATCCTTACAAATGAGCAGGGAGCCCACTGGCTCCACTTCTGTTAAGTTTTATCCAAAGATTCTATGTTATGCACCCACCATCATATGGTCCATATGGTTTAGTAACTCATCTCTGACCTTGAGTATGTAACTCATCCCATCTCTCCACCTAAAGAACAACTTACTTTGGAGCTGCTTCTGTGTAAATTGTTAAAATCATAATATTATAATGTTTAACCTAATTAATGACCCTAATAGAACGACATATTACAGACAGGCACCATCAGCCTGAAAAGAAGAATGTATTTATATTCATGAATAAAAAGAAGTTAACATGTGTCACCATCAGAGATTGGCAGTAACGCGTTACTTGTAACGCGTTACTGTAATCCGATTACTTTTTTCAAGTAACGAGTAAAGTAAGGGATTACTATTCCAAAAACGGTAATTAGATTACCGTTACTTTCCCGTAGGAACGCTGCGTTACTGCGTTACTAAAACCGTGATTTTTTGCGAGAATGTCTCATGACAGTGACGTAAGCAAGTGCAACGTTCATGACTACAGCTGTGTGCAGATCAACAACGGACAATATATCGAGTGCAGGAGAGAGTATGAGCATGCAGCATTTAAAGCGTGGAAGTACTGACCTTACTTTGAGTTTGATTCCATAAAAAGTGACAAAAACATTAGTGTCCGTTGTGCGTGGGAAGAAAACTTCTTTTTACAGCGAAAAAAACCCCTAAACTTCCAAGCAAGCACCAAGTGCGCTACAACGTAATGGGAAATTCACAGAGAAACTCGCGGAGTCTTCCACTGACCGCTGCGGCACACCTGCACCAGGGTAAACCTCCGCCTACCCAACTCCTGCTTTACAGGTGAAAATAGAGCAAAAGGACCGCTAGTCTTTGACTTTATTTATTTTCTGCTGTGTTTTACTTGCATCTATTTGAAAGAGTGAGTGTAAACACACAAAAAAAATTATTTTATGTGCTGGAGTGTGCAGAAAATAGGTTTAAATATTAAACAAATTTCTTCCAGTCAGAGAATGTTGCATATAATAAAATTTTTGCTTGATGCATAAAGTTAAAAGATTAAAACGAATAAAATAAGTTTTAAAAAGGGACTTTTCCATTTGATTACATTTTGTATGATGGATTGTGCAGAAAAAGTAGAATTGGGCTATATCACCTTTTCAGGTTGTAAATTGTGTTTTTAAAAAGTAACTAAGTAACTAAGTAATTAATTACTTTTAAAAATAAGTAATCAGTAAAGTAACAGGATTACGTTTTGGGGGAAGTAATCAGTAATTAGTTACTGATTACTTTTTTCAAGTAACTTGACCAACACTGGTCACCATATTACATGCAATGAAATAAAAGTAAAAGAAACATTGGCAAATCAGCGTTCCTTCTCTTGTACATTTTTCATAACATTCACATGTTTTTTGTTTGTTTTTTATTTGGGCTTTTCCATAAAGAGTTTTCGGCGCTACAGTTAGCCGGCGCTGAGCGTGAAAGCCTGTATCCTCGAGGTTTAATGAAGTGCCTCAGCAGTGTGTAATGGAGACAGTTGCCTATAATCTTGTCATTAACACCACGCTGCAGACTGAAGCTCTGTGCTGCTCTTCATTTTTCTTACCAAACTACCATTTTCAGCTTTCTAATGTGAAAATCAGTCAAAGTCAGGCTTTAAAATATTGAATGTTACTGTTACTAGTTATTGATATTCACTGACCAATCACAATATTTACCTGATTGTTGTTGTTTTTTTATTACATGAAGATCTTGAATGACCATTTGTCATCTGTTTCTGTGCTAAGTATAGTACGATTGTATGTGGCAGGTAATGGAGTATTTTGCTTTACAGTCCACTGATTCGTGCTCTTACGTTTTAAAGTTATATGGATTTTACATATGAGTAATAATGTCACACTGATGATGTAGCTAATGCTACTAGCTGGTAAAAACACTGTGCAAGGCAGACTTAATCTCATTATTGTTGGAATGATTGAGGCATTTTCTATCTTTGCATATATATCTTGCCCTTATGTCTGATTAAAATGATGTATTTTCATAAATACAGCAGTATGTGGTAAGCAAGATAATGCAGAAGTTATATTTAAGTTTAAATTAGCAGAAATTCCATTATTTTAAATAATGGAAATCCCTATGGCCCAGAAGCTTACTTTTCTCCACTCTTAGATCCTTATGGTGTCAAAAAGCCAAGAACTATTTAATATGGGCATAAGGCAGAATGCTAAAAAAAGAATGAAGCTGGAAATAAGCAACAAAATCCTAGTTTAATCCATAGAGCAAAGCACTTTAAACCAGGAGAGGAGGGAAATAGAAAGATTACACCTGAAGGGAATAATAATACTCTAAATCCTAAAGTGTGAAATTTATCTTCAGCTTTTTCCTCCAAGTTATAGTCCTGTGGTTTGTGTTTGTATTATGTGAAGTTAAACTCATTTTGAAAATAAATAAATAAACTACATCAAAATAAATTATTAGAAAATGTTTAAACAACAAACCAGAAGCACTCTGAGAGCATAAACCTCCTCCAAAGTTCACTCTCTAGGTAGTATTTAATTTTAAGGAAAAATTATTAGAATTTGACCTCCTTCAAGGTCATAAATACAGAAGTCAAATGTGAGATGATATCTTAAATATCTATGCTGTACTTTCTATATGTTGACAATACACAACACACAAAATGCTTGAACTAGAGGAACTCCAAACCTCTGATTGGTAGTGTAAATAAAACCATTAATATTTAAAACAGAACTGAGCACACAACCTAGTTTCAGACATAACCGGAGCCGTTACAACAGTTCACCGGCTCAGCAGCAATATGAAGACACAATTTATGACTGTCATCCAGAATTCAGGTCATGATTTCCCATTTTTCTCTGTCTGCTCTTTCTTGCTTCGAGGTATCAATTATGCTCTGGCACATATGATGTGGCTTCAGAGGCTTTTAAAAGAAAACTCACAGCTGCAGTTTGACCCGAGCCTCCCCGACCGGCAGCGAAGGCGTAAAGTTAAAGACAAGAGAAGAAAACGATGTTGGCAGCTTTAATGGACGGTTGTTGAAAAGTCAAACCTGATCGGTGGTTCAAATTTCTCAGCTTTCAAGCTCAAGTCTTTGAAATGTTTGTACTCATGTTACCCGCTCTCTTGTCGGCTTTGCAGCCCCGGGCTATACAGTAAAGAGAGGCTTATGATACACTCGTGATTCGATTGAAGTCGTAGATAAGGGGCCGCTCTTGTGCTCTACATATAAATCACATAATGTATAGATGACCTTGTGGTGTCTCATCTCAAATCTGGGTCATTTCCACACAACTGTCTTGACAGTCACATCTCATGACAGAATTAGTGTTCTGTTTTTCCCGAAAGGCTCATTTTCTCACTTTGGAACAAACGCTCTCATAACATTTATATTGCAGATTCGCACCTGTCTGATGGCGTGCAGCAGCTTGCCGTAGGAGTAGAGGATGACGCCGAACGGCAGAACGAGGCAGAAGGTGAACAGGCAGATGATGTAGGAGATATTGTTTGGCGTACGTGTCCTCCAGTCAACCGAGCAGGTGGTGCCGGGACCCTCGGGACCATATCTGCTCCAGCCCAGCAGCGGAGGCACGGTCCAGGCCACGGAGTAAAGCCAGGAGAAGCAGATCCCTGCCAGGGTTGGGCGGAAGTCTCTACCGTCTGCAATAGTCTGCGCCATCATGGTGCAGTAGCGCTCGTAGGACAAAACAGCCAATGAGATGAGGGAAACAATACCTGAGGAGGGAGAAGTTCAGAACAAGTGGTCAGACCCAGATATCAAGCAAATTTTGGGCTTTTGGGAGTCAGTGAGCAGAGGAGAATGAAAAAGCTTTCCTCAGAACTGGAGCAACTGCGTTCTGTTTCCCTCAGAGTTATTGATTGATACATTTAGATACGAAGTCATGTCAATTTTCCGCTCGCTTTGATCATCTTAATAGCGTTTAACTTTGCATTGCTGGGGCACAAACAGAGGAGAATGAACTTCATTAGCTGGCATTTGCTTTGAAAGCTTTACAGTAACTGTGATGGCAAAGGCCTGCTAGATTAATTTCAATTTGTACATCTTGGAGCGCACTAAGGTTTGAGCTTTTTGTTCATCCACACGTGTTTACTTCAGGCATTATCATATGTCAACCGAATCAGAATGTTTTTGTCTCTTTGCTTATGTACTTCTTTCCACTACAGGGCCTTCAGCCTGCTCCACTCTGGGTGTAGTGGGAGGATCACACATACAACGCATTCACTGTTATTTGACTTTCTACATTCATTCATATTTATGAATTCCCATGCCTCGTAATCCCAGGTTTAACCCTCAAATAAGTCTTTGAAATGGTATGAAAGGTAAAGATAGGTGGCCATGTTTAAATTAAACTGATTGTTTCTGCCTTTGTTTTCCTGTGAGAAAATCTTGTTTCAATGACTGCTTCTTGATAAAGCGGCAACCTATAATCTATCCATTCTGCACAGCCATGTTTTGAGCAGGTGCAATCAGACATACCCCCGTTCAGTGAGTGCTTCTGTATCACTTTTAGCATTTGGCAATCATTTGTACCTACAAAAACACGGGTTACAAAGAATCCAAATAGCAGTATTCAACACATGCTCACATTTCTTTTGGTTAACTAGAGTTTGCATACTGTTTTTTTCCCTCTTTTTCAGTTCAATGTTTTGATTTTGTGCTACTGGCAGTAAGTAAAAAACTACTGAACACTGACTATTCGAACTGCAGGTAGTCATTTCCATTCAAGCTCAATCTGAAGATTGGTTTCATGATAACCAGAAAACACTAAAAAACTAAAAGGACTTTTGAAGAACTTTTTCTTCACAGAGGAGAATGTCTTAGTTAATTGACAAACAACACTGGAAACACGCATTGCATCACAATTTAACGAAACCTCAAAAGATCTTTAAATGCTTCTTTTTTCTGACCAACACAATAAAATCAAATCATAGTCAATATATTCTTTGGTTAAGAAAAGAAAGCAAATTAGCCTAAACAACTGATAGATTATTTATTGACAGTTTTAATCATTGTCAACCGAGTAGCTCTAATTCATTTGGGAAACTTTCAGTTAACTGAAAATGGAGTTTATTCAACAGCAGAAGTTGTGTCGTGGACTGATACAAACCCTGAGTCGTTGTATCCTCTAGTAGTTTAAAATATCATCACAACCTGTTCACACCAAAAAATGAAAAAAAGAAACACCACTTACAGAAACACTGATTTGCAGACAGCACAGCCATGTGCTGTCTTTCCTCTGTGTTAACTGCAGATTGATGAAAGAAAATTGTTGCTGAAGTGAGTTAAGTCTTAAATCAGAGCTAATCAACACATACAGGCGAAAGTACTGGTGCAGAGGCACTTTACCTCCATTATGCTGAGTCTGCTTGGGAAAGAGACTTTGATTACAGGCAATCAGAGTGCCTTAATGCATAATGAAGCCTTCTGATTGGCTGAAACCATGCCATGTTGGCGTGGACAGCACACCGGGGCTGGGCGCATGATGTGTTGAGAGGAATAGCAAAGGGTGAGTGTCTTGAAAATAATGGAAATGATTTGGTGCTGGCATGTCTTGTGAAAGATGTGTGTGTGTGTGTGTGTGTGTGTGTGTGTGTGTGTGTGTGTGTTTTCAGGTGGCTGAAGAGGGAGTGAGAGCTCTCACTTTTCATTACTGGCTAGATAAAGCATGGACACTTCAGATGTGTAGTTTTCCAGGTCAGACAGAAACTTCATTACACTCTGTACTAAGACAAAAACAAAAAAATATCAGTTTAAAGTTCTTGATAAAAGCCAACACACTAAAAAAAAAATGAAAACAAATATTTTAATTGCCATATATTTAAAGTCGCCACTAGGGGTCTCCAAAGTCAGTTCTTTGGCCAGGTTGGCTTTGCATTTCTTTAATGTTTTTACCCTAAAAATGTATTTTTTCAGAGTGCAGCAGTAGTGTTTTATAAAAATGATCTAAACAGCTTGTGTGAGTTTGTGGTACTGTGTACCAAGTTCAGGGAAGCAATCTGCTGATACATTGCAAAGAATGGTTAATGTTACACTTTGTCAGTCTGCCCCAGAGCAGCTGTAGCTACAACTGTAGTTTGCCTCCACCAGTGTGTGAATGTGAGAGTGAATGAATAGTGGAATTGTAAAGCGCTTTGAGGGCCCCGAAAAGTGCTATATAAATGCAATCCATTATTATTAATATTATTATTTGTGGATTTTGTGCTCACTCCTCATTTTAAAAGGATCGCCTCCAACAGTGTGCAGCTACTGATTGTGAACACAGCTGCAGCTGCTTCACCCAGCAGCTGATGTGGTGGCATCCACGGACACATCCAGCTGTTACTGTCTGAACCTGTGTGCTTCATTATGTTGCCGACATACAGTAGCTTCAACACAATAAACCATCTCTGCATACATACAGAGTCAGACTCATTAAAAAAAATAATCAGAGCAAGAATCATAACTAATAAATCTTAGTCATGGTTAAAGTCATAGTGACAGCCGTATCATCACAGCAGCAGTCTGTCTCTGTTTAGAGAGAACACTTCCCCCAATCCACTCATCCATTTTCCACCAGAGGAAGTCTCAGAAGACTTTTCCCACTCTGTCCCCACCATTTCCAATCTAGCCTAGAGACAAACCCTCCATGGCATGTTCTGCATCTGCCCTGGGGTTTCATCCCAGTTGGAAAATTTCTACATAACTGACCTAGAAGCTCTTCCACTTTTCCTTCTCAAGGCAATGGCTGAGACTCCTACACACAAAATAAGAGAAAGGCACACCATAGAAAAGACACAAATTGGCGAACAAAGTGTTGGAAGCAGTGCAAAGAACCTGGTCTGAGTATAGAGTCTGTATGTGTGTGGCCTGAGTGATGAGGGGTGCTCACACCGTGGCTCAGATTGGTGAGGTGAGTAGGGAGGAGAGGGGGGTGGGGGATAGTGTTTGTTGGCACTCTGAATGGCTCAGGGGAAGAAGCTGTTTGTGAGATAATAATATTGTATTGCTGATTACGTTTAACCATTAGTGTCAACATTAACCTGCACTAAAGGAGCCATACAGATAAAGATTATTTTTGAATAACAATAAAATTGGACAAGGAAAAATAATAATAATTTTTTCTTTACCTCCCTCTGTGTTTTTTTTTTCTTAATGAAAAAGACTTCCATCCATCAGTTTTCTTAACTGCTTATCCAGTTCACAGTCGCAGGGAGAAAAGGCTTACATCCTTTAATACAACAGCCCCCAAAGGACAAAGTACAAACAAGGCTGATAGCAAAACATTTAAGAGTGAAATTCTGCAGTTCGGTAAACTCAACATCCACAAATTAAAACAACAACAACAACAACAACAAAAACCCAGCATCTCATTAGGCATAAGGTTGACTCCTGAGCCAGGCCTATTCTCATCTCTTTGAGTTCTTAGGTAATTTACAATTGACTCCAGTGTCCAACATCTGATTAAAAAATGTAATTAAATGAAATTAATAAATGAAGCTTGTAATATTCTTAAATGTACAGTTATGTGAACTCTAGCCCATATTTTCTTTCTGTATGACTTTTTTCACATTTCTCTTAAGGTCCCACCACAGCATTTCACTATGATTGAGGAGTAGACTTTGACTGTTTCATTGCAACACCTTCTTTTCTTTTTAAGTCATTCTGTTGTAGATTTGTTGCTGTGCTCAGGATCATTGTTCTGATGCATGGGCCAGGCTTTAGCTGTCAGGCAGATGGCCTCTAGAACACTTTGGCATACAGAGGACTTAATGGTCAACTCAGTGACTGCAAATTGCCCAGGTTCTATGGCTGCAAAGCGACCCCAACATCCCTCCACCACCACACTATATTTGTGCTGACATGCTGAGTTTGGCTTACTCCAAAAGTGAGGCTGTGCATGATGGACAAGCATCTCCACTTTGGGCTTGTCTTTCCAAAGGAGATACAGAAGATACAGAAATCTTTGTTTGGATGCAACTTTGAAAACCTAAGCTGTGCTTTCAACCTCTTCTAAGAGAGAAGAGGCTTTCTGCTGGCAACACTGTCCACGTGTCATTTGCCAAAGAAACAAGGGGGACAAGCTGAAAGAACCACTGACATCTATCCATCCAAAAGGGTCACCTGTTAAATCTAATACTTGCGCCACACTCATCTTATTGGTTACTTCCCTCCCCCCCACCCCTAAAACACTTCTAAATACTCTCTGTAGTGTGATTTCTTTCATATTTTATATAATTATTCAATCTATTTGCACAGTAAAAGTATAGCATTGATCTTACTGTTGTTTTAGGAAGCAATATAAAAGCTCATGAAAAGGACAAGAAAACCAAATGAGTATTGTGGAAAGAAATTAATTGCATAATCTCCAGTAAACAATACACTCTGGTAAATATATAGTGGATTCTCTTCATATGAATGGTCTGCCACCTCAGCAACTGGGCAACTTCTAAAGGCAACAAATCTTCCATTCATTTCCTATATTGACTGCACAGTCTGCACTTGGAGCCTAGTTAGAATATCAACCCCTAAAAGTTGGCTTTGATTCAAACTTGGCCCACTCTGATTCTGCAACATGCATTTTAATGGGATTTTCACCTGAGGCCCGATTCTTCCCCATCCAACTCCATACTAGTGTGGAATAGATTTATGGTAAAATGAATGACCCCACGTTCCAAGCCTGAGTCAGCACAGGAGCTAATCATCTTTCATTGTCTTTTTTCTTCTCATTCTTTTC